TTCCCAAAAAAGGCTGGCCATCATTGGGGTATACCCCAATTTTTTGACAAACCCATATCCTATATTATCCCAAAATAATATGATAATAATTATCCTATATCATCCTATATTATCCCATATTATCCTATATTATCCCATTCTTCCAGAGGTTTTTCCGAGTCGCCACAGGCTTGGCCTGAAGCCGGCCTCCAAGCTGAGCACTTGCGGGGCACCAAAACGTGGGTGGAATCTGGGGGGTTTCTGGTGGATTTTCATAGCTTTTTCACGATGTTTGACTGGTAAACCATAGGAAAACCATAGGAAAACTACGGGAAAATGGAACGATTTACATAGCGAACTGGAAAGATTCACCATGTTTAAAATGGGTAAAAATCAACTATTTCTATGGTCATTTTCCAGTTCGCTTTTTGTATGTTTGACTGGATGGATTGTCTGTGCAAAAGTTCGGAATCGTGGGGATTTGGCATCGGAGAATCCAACGAAAGAGGGAGGGTAAAAATCCCATTGTTCAATGGGTTGCTTGAATCCCCATTGTTCAATGGAAAATCCACCTGTTTTTTTTTTTGGATGTCTTGAACAGCACAACTAGCCTCTGTGTAAATTTAACATAGCCACATAGTGCCACATAGCCATGGAAAATGATCCAGATGATGTACCTATTCAAATGGCCATTATCAATAGCAAACTGTTAGTTTACCAGAGGGTATTTGAATTGGAAATCATGTAGGCCTTGAATGGTTGAGTTTGCAGAGCATCAATTTGTCCGTGTTGCAGCGCGGGGGTTGCATTTGTTACTCCTGTTTCGGAAGAATCATGCGTTTGCAGCAATGGCACCATTTGTTGCCATTTTCCGCTAGTTGGGATGACAGGCGGTCTCTCACCAACAGACATCCTCCATCATCCTATCATATATTAAAATATTATCATGTATTTAATATATTTATATAGGATTTGATGGGACTCAAGCCTGGCTTGGGCATGCTTGACAGGCGCAACTTGGGCTTCCCATTCTCACGGCCACGAGGTTTGGATACGGACAATGGGCAAAAACCCTTGATGTATGTCCCGGGCCTCAGGGGTGGACCATACTTGGTTGATGTTGGCTTTTCCAAGGGGTGATATGTTGGCTAGTTTAGTACAACCGACATTTGCCACAAATGGGAATACACACACCGATATATATACGTGTATATATATATATATGCATATATAATATGTATGCATTATTATGTAGCGAAATTAGAATCTAACTGTTTGAACAGGTATCTGAAAGATTGGGAATGTCAGTGGGTGATTCAAAAATTCTTTGCTCACTTCGCCATCTCCAGGTGTGTTATTCCATGGAGGGCAAAGATTCACCCTACGGCGTTGAAAACACCAACCAAGCCTTTTGGCTTACACCTGAGGGCCACATCACGCGCCGCGCTTAGCGATGCCACAAGCAGCCCCAAGGGACCATGGCCTGACCGATGTGTTTGATGACTTTCACCGTTGGATAGCTAATAGCATCTACCCTCTGGCAAACTAACATAGCGATTGACAATGGCCATTTATAGTGAGTTTTCCCATTAAAAATGGTGATTTTCCATGATTTTCCATAGTTATGTAAACGTTTACCAGAGGGTAATAGCTATATATCATCATTTGCGCTGTATGTGGAAGGCTTTCTTTTCATTGTCTTTCAGATTGGTGGCCATGCCGCAGATGTCGAAACAGCTCGCGAGGCAATGGGGCCCTGTGGACGCATCCTTCTCCAATCTTTGCTTGGATGGGTCGCAACCTCCGTTGATGCTTGGCTGGGCTTCGGTGCTATGCCACAGGCGAACGTGGAAAAATTAGGCATATGACTATGACCATTCTCCAGCTAAGACCCGGAAATCAAAGCCAACTATTTTCGAGGGTGGGATGGTGAATCCCATTATCCCATTCAATGTGGGTAAAACAATGCCATTTTTACCACCCATGACTTGGAATGAATGGTTTATAACAATTTATAACACCTATAAAAATTGTGATTTTCCTGGGGGATGGTGGGTGCAGATGGCATTGTTTTAACCACATGAATCCCATGGGAAAGTCACCATACTGCCATACAGTGCTGTAAAATCACCCTGGTCAGCGGCCCGCAGGAAATATTTCCACCGTGGCGGCCATATGATCATCTTCAAGTCCCAAGAAAGAAAGGGCGGAAGGGAAAATCTGCAGGAAAAGCTACTTTTCCACATATTATTATTATTGTTATTATGATGATCATTATGATCATCATTATTATTAATATATATTTATATTATATTATATTATTATATTATATTATATTATATTATGTTATATTATATATTGTTATATTATATGCTATTATATTATATTATGTTATATGATATATTATTATATACCATTTTATATATCATCTATCATATAATATGTTCACTTATATTTTTGGGGCTCAACTTACTCAGCTGACTCAAGGACCCAGCGCCGCTTGAGCCTAGCGTCGTGCCAAGATGCGGAACAGCGCATGGTGCGGTGGAGCAAGGCGCGGGTTGAATGATGGGTGGTCCCAAATGTCGCAGAATGGCACATGGCACCATAAAATAAAAGAGTGGTAAACATGTCAGAAACCGGGATTCGTGGTGTTCAAAATTTGGATAGTTTTAAGTTTTAACATTTCTGGTAATGTCAACCCTGGATTAACCCCAAACGGCTGTTTAATTGGGAGGGTACCATAAAAAAGTAGCAGATGAAATGACTCTTGGAGGAGTACCCCCTAATTAATAAACCATGGTTTAGTCTCATCCGGGGTTGACATGAATTGACCGTTGGAAAAAAACCAGACTTGGGATGATTGAGACGGTAAACCCTAAGGGGAACCATCTCCAATATCACTACAAGTGGTATAAAATCCCCAAATGCTAGGCGTGTGAATTTGGGTTTACCACATTAATTCCAAATGTTCTATTCTGGTTGGTTTGGAACATGGCTGTTATTTTCCATTTCATATATGGGATGTAATCCTTCCCATTGACGAACTCATATTTTTCAAGATGGTTAAAAGCACCAACCAGTTATATTATTCATTAGATCAGGTATTAATCACTAATAACCAGTATTAACCACTATTAATCACTATTAACCATGGTTATTGTAAGCCAGCCATTATGAATTATCAACAATTTGTATCAATTTGTCTTGCGGTTATTTGGTTGCTCTTAAAGCATTTGGGATGACTTAAAACCAGGTCAAAACCCACCAGATTTGCCAAATTCATAAACCCATTATGTGGTGTATAAACCATCACATTTAACATGATATACCCATCTGGTAATTTAACATAGCTATCGAAACTCACCTTGTGAAAAAAAGGTATATCAAGAATGGCAATTTTTGAATAATGTGGTTAAAACATGTTAAAACAAGAATAAACCATCCCCGAAATCACCATGATTCTAGGTGCTATAAAACCATCAAAAATGGGGTGGTTATGGCATTGTTTTACCCACATGAATCCAATGCAATGTACCCTCTGGTAATTTAAGAGTTTGCTATTGAAAATGACCCATAGAAATAGTTCATTTACCTATTAAAGATGGTGATTTTCCAGTTCGCTATGTAAACGTTTACCAGAGGGTAAGCCTCCATTTTCCCATAGTTTTCCTATGGTTTTCCTATGGTTTACCAGAGGGTAACATTTGGGATGGCTCAAAAGCCATGGTTCAATGCCACCAGATCTGCGTCAAGGTGGGCGTCCGGGTGCCTTTGGAGACGCGCTTGGCGGAAAAATCGGAGCTCGACGTCACGACGTGGATATACCCTTTGGGAATCAAACATGGCGCAAAAAATGGGAATATATGCGAAAATCCCACTGTAAATGGAGTTTTAATATGTTATAATATGTTTTTGATGGGACATTTCCAGCAAGCCACGTTTGATTACTATAGAGGGTATGTGCAATATACTTTGGCCGACAGATCCAAAAGGGAATGCTTGATGGATTTTGCACAAACCAGATTTCTGATAGTCAGAGCAAGTCATATATATATATATATATGCAACTATGATACGATTAACTATAACTATAACCATAAGCCACATCAGTATAACTTGATGAAACCACATTGTATGGAACTCTCATTTGATGGGGAAGATCCCCCAGACAAAATCCCGCGTACCGACAATCACTGGTCGGACCTACAGACCGTCGATTTGCCTGGTTTTCCTCATGTTTTTTTTCAGTTCTTTTTGTGGCATGTGTACCCTCTGTTATTTAACATCATACACAATCATACACACATATGTGTACCCTCTTGTTATTTAACATAGCCATGGAAAATGGCCCATTTATAGATGATTTTCCCATTAAACATATTAAAACTTCCATTTATGGTTGGGATTTTCCATGGCTATGTTAGTCATAACTCACCAGATGGTAATTCATCATAACTTGCATAGGTTTCTGGATGTGCCAGCACCATCCAGGAATGCGGCGTCGATTTCATGGCTCAGCAACCCGCCGCGCCGCGAAGCACGGGGTTTTTGTTTCGCCACCGAGCGGACACCGTGCCTTGGAAAAGGGGGCGCCGTTGAGACCAGGGATTTTTGGATCGAAAAACCTGGAAGATGTGGGGAAAAAACGAGAATACCATGGGTTTGCCCCACACCAAAATGATGGTTGGGCTGTTTTTTAAGAGAGTGGACTCTTTTGAGGTATGTCGGTTGGTTGGGGGAGAAGCAATGTTTTGGGGTTGCTAAGATAGTGGCGATGGAAATGCTGGATTGGGGTTTTCACATAGTTTCTATAGTTGTTCCCCTCTCAGGAATATTCAGGACAATTGTCCCGAAAGCCTCTGTGAATTTTCAGCCGCAGTGGCTCACCCAGTCCCAGACTTGGATGTTGTGGGTAGAAACCAACCAATTTACGGTTTCGATTCTAACCTCCAGAAAAATATGCCATATATGCCAAAATCCCAGATTCATTGGTGAAGCCCATGATTTTTTGATGGTTTTTGATGGTTGACTCACCTTTTTAGCAGTGCTGCTGGGCCTTTTTTCATCTTTTTTCTCTGTGCAGGAAGATGGGCGACAAAAAGGGTGGCGATGAGATCAATTACCAGCAGGCTGGTGGTATATTAAGCATGGGATACCGGTAATGTCAACCCTGGATTAATAAACCCTTAGGCTAACTTAGGCTGTTTAATTGGGGGGGTACCATTTAAGTATTGGATTATGACTATTGGAGGAGTACCCCCCTAATTAATAAACCATGGTTTATTAATCCGGGGTTGACATTATCTGAAAAGTGTGTCTGAAAATGAGGCCTACCCCCAGATCCACATTGGTCCACATAGATGTGGTTTTTAGTGGTGGACATGATGATCAACGGATTTTGGGGTGGCCTATTTTCAGAAGTGTGGTTCAGAAGATGACCCGGGTGAGTTTCTCAATGAACCCAAAGGTTTCTTGCATCATTGAGACATTCCAGCTGGTTGGTGGTTTGGAACCATGGAATTTTATGACTTTTCCATCATATTGGGAAGAATATATCATCCCAACTGACCTTCAGTCCATCATTTTTCAGAGGGGTAGGGCTCAACCAGCAACCAGCCACCTGGATGCCTTAGGATTCCCCGGTGGTGTCACCTGGCCGCCAGGAAAATGACTACATGAAACGAAAGATTGAAGTGCTACGGTACAGGCGCGCCGGCCACGGCGGCCACGGGGCTTGATGACCGATGTGTTGATCATTGCGGTTGTATCATGTATCACTTGATACCCATATAATTTCATGACCGTACGGACATTTTTTTTGGTCCATTATGGGTTTTACCCGTAACGGACGTTTTATTGGTTCAATTGCGTATTTTGTTTTTTGATTGTGAGGGGTTGTTCAAATCCTTTGACGACCCGGGTCCCGACATCCTCAGTCTCCTAAAGATTAATTTCAGCTCAAAATGGAGCAGATTGGGAGTCATGATGTACCCAAATCTGGCCACAAAGGATGCCCTCATACAATACCAGTATTTTTTCAACATCATGTTGGGAAAAAAAAAGTCACCATATTTCAACATATTGCCCCAAATACTGCCTCTAGACGAGACACTCATACTGTCGGAACCAGTCCGACAAATCCAAGATTTCGGAAAAACTATTGATCTTTAAGTAGAGATAGTAGAGGGATTGCAGCCGGACATGACCGTATTTGGAAAAAATACGTAACGGACAAAAAACATGTCCAAACCCATACGGACAGAACATTTTGTTTCTATGGTTTTCCAATGTTTTCCATATGTATGTCGGAATCAGATTTCTCACACCCATCCCATGGCTATTCCGGTGGGAAACTTTGCCCTTCAGCCCCTGTAATTGACAGAAAAAAACACCTGGGTTTGGTGTAAAATCAGGGTCCCGGTGACGAAGGACCCCCCAAGCCCAGGATCATGATCAAGGACGAGCAAATCTTGGGCTGTCGGAAGTCAGAGGATGGCTTGAGGCCTGGGGTGGATGGCCGCGATTTTTACAGTTTTACATGTAACATATCCCACAAGTATTTGTGGGTGCAAAGGGTTATATCCCCCAAATTCCATCAAATTCCCATATATTTCCATGTGAGAATCAATGTCACTACTGGCATGTTTTTTCCCCTCCCGGTGTCTCCAAAGTTTCGAGACACACCCATATGGAAGATCATCTAAACCTATGATTTTTGATAAGGTCCATTTTGGGAGCCCATTTCTATCATTTCTATCATTTCTATCCCAGAAAATGCCTTGAAGCTCTTCCCATCCCTGGGTCCCTCTCCACAGATTGCATCAGATTGCCACAGGAAGCGCATCGCTGAATTAGACCAAGCTTTTGAAGACGAGGCGGTGCGCTGCAGAGAGAACACGGCAGACGCCTGGCTGACGTGGGTTGGAGGTTGGGGGGAGGATGCTGAAGATGGACATCAATGAGATATCATGTGGGTAAAACATGGTAAAACAATGCCATTTTTTACATATTTTTACCACCCATGACTGGGAATGGTAACCATATCACCTACTTATGGTGATGACTGGGGGATGGTTTATTATTGTTTTACCAACAATATAATATACACATATATATAAATATAATTTAGATATCACGAGAATCTAATGGGGATATAATATCGACAAGCATCACTATAATGCGATATCATCTGAATAAATGATGATACCCTCTGGTAAACTAACATAACTATGGAACATCACCATTTTTCATGGATAAATCCACTATTTCAATGGCCATTTATGGCCATTTTCAATATTGAAATGTAGTCAAAATACAGCTACGTCTCCGTTAACGCTTGATTTTGGTTACATTTGCCGGAACCTGTCGGAAATCCATCGGATTTTGTCGGAAATCGAGAAAAACCGCAGGCATCCTCTATTTGTAAGATGCGCATGCGAGTTGATCATGGTCATATGCAGTTCAAAATCGTGACAAATCGTGATGAATTATCTTTTTTGCCACTTAAAATTATGACATTTGTCGGAAACACCGTGACAAAACGTGATAAACCGTGATAAACCGTGATCTGTTCAGGATTGACCGCTCATCTTCTAAGGGTAGCTGCCACTTTTCGCTTGTGCTCACAGCATTTTACGGTAAAATTATGGTTACCGCAAATGTTGCCAAATTTTGGCTACGGACGTCAAATAATGCCTACGGACGTCAAAAAACAAGGTTTACCGCAAATGTCAGCAAATAGACCCAACATTGGATCCACAGGGAATAGCTATGTTAGTTTACCAGAGGATGGTGACCTCACGACGTGACGTCACTGGAATGTACAAGTGGCCGCATGATATCAGCCAGATCAGCACACACACACACACATATATATATATATTACATGTTCTCGGCGGGGATGGACAGTTTTCTTATTGGACCATGGTTGGGTTCCATGTGTCTTTCGTGGCATGCATGATCATACATGCAATGTAGATGCAAATTATCACGTGAGCCATTTTTTGCGTATCAAAATCACATATTCATGCAGCATCATGCTAGAGCTGCTCAAGATATTTTTTCAATCTTTCCCCAGAGACCCGTATTTTTGTGTTTTACTTAAATTATGTTCAATCTCAATCTACCTTTATTTTTCATGGTGCACATTTTCCATCATTGTTCATGGTTTAATCACCATTTTCGAACATTTTTCATGGTTAAATCATCATTTTCGATCATTTGTTCATCGTTAAATCATTTTTCATGATGCTTACCCTCTGGTAAACTAACATAACTATGGAAGATCACCATTTTTAATGGGAAAACTCACTATAAATGGCCATTTTCAATAGCTATGTTAAATTACCGGAGGGTATAGGTTTTCATGGTGAACATACCATCCATGACTCTGATCTCCGTTCAGCTTTCAAGGAGATGAGTCGACAGTACCGGGAGATGCAGGCATGGGGGCCTCAGCGTTCAGCGTTCAACCAGCCAAAAATGGGTTAAATGAGTAATGAACTATGATATTAATAATATTATACATACACACACACATATATATATATGTAATCATACATATATATATATAATCATATACATACATATGTACACATATGTACACGTATATATGAGATGTGGCCCCGATTGTTTACAAGGGAGTTTGGGGGAGTGAGGATGATATGTCTGGAAGAAGAGTTGAGCTGCAAGTCACTTTTTTCCGTAATCCCTGCGTTTTTCATTCATCTTTGCAGCAAAGCAAAAAGAATTTGGAGGATTTTACCACCCATTTCTGGTGATATTGGTGATAGTTTATTGAATGATAACGTTGGGTTGCCCACACCCGCTGAGACTTCAATTGAAGACCGACACGTGACATGTCAAGTGAAGTTCAAAAGCTCCGGGCTTTGGGGACCACAGGCAGTCAGGTGAATGTCCAAATGTGGTCTCCTACTATCTCCTACTCATGGACAGGGGTGGTATACATATGTATACATGACTGGATATGACTGATCACCAAATCAAAGATTATTAGCATTGGTTGAAGGGAACGTTGATCATGGTGATGGTACCCTCTGGTAATTTAACATAGCTATTGAACATGGCCATTTATAGTGGACTTACCCATTAAAAATGGTGATTTTCCATGGCTATGTTAAATAACCAGAGAGTAATGGAAAAACACCCACCTTCGCCACCTGGCCACCTTGGAGCCCCAGAGCCGCGGCGCCACGAACCAGGAATCCTTCAATGACACCATCGACGTGCTGCAGAAAAAGGCCCAAGGGCCCAATGGGCGCCGCCTGCTGTGACGGGTCGCGTGGGAAAGCAGGCTGTGTCTGCCTATGTGGGACGTGTTATGTATGTGATATGTTCCATATGTGCTATATACATATATTGTATGTGTTATACATATGTATGTATATATATATATGTGTGTGTTTATACGTTATAACAGATTTATATGTTATGTTATATGTTCAACCCATGGTTCCCCAACATGATGAGGTTTAGTTTCATTAGGATCAAATTGATGTTTCATGATCCAGTGGTAAACCCAATGGTAAAGCATCACCAATTTTCTTAGACATGTGACATGGTTTCTATTGCCACAACCAGCCCCAATCGGAGGTTTATGGAATTGGGTTTGTTAGACTATTTCGTGATGTTTTTGCTTACTCCATGGTAATTTCGCCTTGGGCAATGGAAAATTCAACCGTTTATATCCGTTGATGTATGGATTACCATATGGCTATGGATCAATACCTATGAATGCCATCTTTGGTACGGAGACCCATTTGCCATCCCAAATGTTGATGTGAACAGAAGGGCTACAGGGTTTTGACAGATCCCCATATTTGGATGATTACCGTATACAACTATGATTGTTGATGATTTCTTGCCATTTATATTTTCCATATATATATATATACACTATATATATATACACTATATATATATATACATATTTGCTATATATATATATATATATGTATATGCATTTCCCTCTGGGGCGGACGTTCACCCAAAGTTTGGTTGGGGGTTTAAGTTTAGTTGCTTTGGGGTTGGTTTAGTATTTATTTTAGTTTGTATTCGGGTTTACTTCAAGTTGATTAAAAAACATAGGGGTTGGATCAGGTTTTTTTTTTGGTTTGTTTAATTGATGTTTGGTCCTATTTACAGTTGTTTTAGGGTTTATTTGAGGTTGTTTTAGAGTTTCTTTAGGGTTAGTTATGGTTGATTTAGGGTTTGGTTAGGGTTTATTGAGGCTGGGTCATATTCGGGTTCTTTCAAGGTTTTACAGCTTGTCAAGGTTGAACCGTTCACGGTTCGAAACAATGCAAATTACAGAGAAGATGTTTCAGACATGGTTCAAAAGGATTCAAAAGGTGATTTTGGCACCGTCTGAATGGTAAACGCGTCTGAATGCAGACGCAGTGAATATCAATGTTTTCTTTGCAAAAAACAGACGCCGAAAGTTTCCACAGCAGATTGCCCGCATCGAATTCCGTGGATTTTGGGCAAAGGTCACCAATCTTTTCAATGTTTTTCCCCCATTTTTTCCCCAATTGTTTCCAGTTGTTTGCAATTTGTTCCCATTTTTTGCCATTTCTTTCCAGTTGTTTCCCAAGTGTTTCCAGTTTTTGCCAATTTTCCCAAATTTTTCCAAAAAATACAATTTTTTTCCCAGTTCGCCACCGCCCAGTTTGCCAGGTTTCAGAAGCCAAAGCAGAGATCGAATCGGTGACCAAGGTGCGTGCTGCAACCAAGGTTTTTCGGTTGGTTTAGTTTCAGCCAATTTTTCAAAACATTGGTAAACTATTGGTACTAACTGTAATCATATGGTAAACTAATATGCGACCATTGGTATAGCAACCATACAGAGTCACAATGATGCCAATGCTAATAGTAATAGTCACAATTGTTATAAAAATAATCATCGTGATTATCATCACCGTCGTCGTCGTCATCATCGTCATCATCATCATCATCATCATCGTCATCATCATCATCATTATCATCGTCATCGTCATCGTCATCGTCAACGTCATCGGCATCGTCATCATCACCGCCGCCGTCGTTGTCGTCGTCATGATTATGAATGACCACCATGCTATACCATACTGATGATCCACCGTCCGTGGCATTGGTGGTCATGTTTCACATGTTTGTTGCACATGTTTTGCACGTTTCACACAGCAACGGCCCCACGAGGGGACTTTGTGAAGACATGAAATTTGTACGACACCTTCGACCAAATCATCACAAACAAGTTTTTGCTAGACTCGCTAGACTCCTGGAGATGGCGATGAAGAGAGAGAGAGAGAGATTCAGAATCAGATTCAGAAACATCATAGAAACGTCATTCATCACCACCATGGAATTCTTAGGGACCCCCAAAGATGGGCACCACTACATATTCCGATAAGCTTCCCATACTTTACATTGGGGTTTCTTATAAGAGTAGTATGGGAGTCGACCACGGGAATCGGGGTCCAACAAAGCTCTTAGAGGGTCAAACCTGGCGACTTGACCGACTTGACGAAAACGCCAGGAGATAGAGCAGGTAAAGATCGAAAAGGAAGAAGTTCTGAGACAAAAGGAGATTCGGTGGTCAACGACAATGGTGGATTCCATGGGATTAATGGAGTTTTTTACCCTCCGGTGAACTAACATAACAATGGAAAATCACAATTTTTAATGGGAAAATCCACTATAAATGGCAATTTTCAATAGCTATGTTAGTTTACCAGAGGGTATGCTTTTTAATGGAGATATCAAGGGATTTAACCATCGAAAATTGATAAAAATGCTGGAGCATGTGTGAGCCGTCAGCTGTGGTCAGTTTGACGTTGGTCCTGGGTTAGTGATGCACCAACACCCACAAAAAACATCAAAAAACATCAGTGATACTAGATGATGAAGGTAAGTGCTTAGAGGATCGGGGCTTCACAAAGTTGCTTATCAAGTTCAAGGACAGCCCATGAAAATGGCTGGACAGCCGAAAGAAATGGGGCGCCGCCAGGACTTAGAGATTGCGTCGCTGTCATCCAAGATGGAAACCATGGCCTTCGAATTCGCAGACATGCTCAAGGATGGGCTGAATTGTCAACTGTCAGGTGTGTTTGTCATTTTTTTTTCCGATGGAGAATCCACTTTGGTAGACGACTGATGGTGAAAAAAGTGTCCTATTTTCCAACAAGGTGGAGATTTTCTGGTATCCCCATAATGAGCAATGGACACACGGCCATGTCTAAGGACAATTGAGAGGTTTTTCCCTCACGGATGGGAACACCACTATGGTTTCCCATATGGGTTTGACTGAAAGTAGGGTACCTCTAGATCCACTGGTTAGTCATCATTTTCCCTATTGAACGGCTGTTTGGAAGGTATACCCATGTATACCCAATTTTCAGTCACAACCATATTAGTTTTCTTTAGCGAACCCAATGCTTTGAGATACTTTTAGTGATGTTGGCGGATGTTTTTACCTGGCCGTTCGGCCTCATAACGGCAACTATTCCCACTCTCGGACATACTCATGAGCTTCAAACGGACACAATTACGCGAGAGAGATGCGCAGATGTAAACGTATCATGTTTGCCCACATGATCATGATCTGCTGTTATTAAATCCTTATTCTTGTATCTGTTTGTTGGGACCCCGTCATCATAATCCCAACAATCATCTCAACAATTTGTTTCGTTCAATGATAGTAAATTATCATCTGGTGAAACCACCAGTGATCTGGTTCTCTGGTTTATATCATTTACAGTACCATCTCAATGATCATTTGGGTTGTCTGAGTTTTGGGGTACCCCGAACAATTCCCATCATTCAATTTTCCATGGATTTTCCCATACTTCCCCACTGAAAATCATCATCGAATTGGAGGCTTCATCCGGGGGGCAAAAACCGGGGTTTCCCATGACGTCATGGGGGTAGCACCTTTTTTCATCGCCCAGGAGACCTTGGATAAGATGAGCCAACGCATCGAGGCCAGAGGGCCGAGAGGGCCGAGAGGGGTGAACCCTCGGTGTGGTCAAGGGGTATAAAACTGTAGATCAATGGCCATTTCAGGATCCTAGATTGGAGGTACCTTCCATATATAAGGCCTATTTTTTAGGCTAAATTTCAGGGAATATCCCCACAAAATATGGCCCAAAATATGGTACTAACGTACCTCCATTTTAGGATCCTGGAATTCCCATTGAGATATTGAAAAGATCTAACTATCGGATACTTTTTCACGAAGTTGGGGGATTTATATAACATGATTCGTGACTCGGTTTTCTGTTACTAGGTTAGCTATATGGTTAACTCGCTTTATAGTTTTGACGACCACCTTTCGCAACCCACTGGTGGGCCAATGATCAGACCAGTTTTAGTTTTTTTTTTGGGGGGGAAACATGTTCCCAATACTGGTAACATTGGGTACATTGGAAATCCTTGGGATGTGTGTTGTATGATTATCCTTATTAATGATTATTAGTATCATTGTGCTAGTCTTATTCTTCTTCGTTATCACAGTACTTATTATTACTTTGAGGCTTAGTAAACGCCTACAATCCAACAATCTAAGGGAATCTAATGGCAAACTGAGAAAAACAACGACGAGAGAGAGAGAGAGAGAACACCATATATAACATATTATAACCTGGTTGGTGGTTTCAAACATTTTTTTATTTTCCATAATATATGGGATAATCCTTTCCATTGACTAATATTTTTCAAGATGGTTAAAACCACCAACCAGTCTTGTTCAGAAATGGGGATTTTCCATTGTCAGGTTGTGGGAAGGTATCGCTCCCGCCATCATCCCAACTGACTTTCATATTTTTCAGAGGGGTAGGTATACCACCAACCAGATCTTTTCAAGGCGAAAGCCGGCCTTTCCCCAGGCTCCCAGGTCCACATTATAACATATTATAACATATTATAACACCATATATAACATATCATAACGTGTTTCACAGCTATAGGGATAGATTCAGAAGTACCAAAATCGGCACCAACTCACCTGGCCTGGTGTTCGCCACCTTGTCCATTCGTTCGCAGGTGACGCACAATAGCTGGGATCGAGATACCACCAAGCCGCCCTTGATTAATCGCCTCAAGGCGGGGAGGCTCAGCGGAAGCAATCTTGAGGCTCAGACGGTTTGGAATTTTATGATCACTATTCAGGATATATCATGATATATCCTTTAGATATTTAATGACAATTATGGAAAGTTCCTGAGGTAAGGCTATTGGAGTCAAAAAATAGCATCTTGTATCAGTTGGTGGCGGTTTTAAGCATCAAGGATATGGCAGAGATGGGGATAATTGTATTGCTTGGTTGATGATCATTAACATTAATTAACAATTTATGGGGATGCAATGGGATATTAAGATTCCTTCCATGTGCAGATGTGCATCCCAGGAAGTGGTTATCATAAGCATATGATGTGCAGCCCAGATGAGTGGGATAAACCTCAGTCACCCTCTGGTAAACAAACATAGCTATGGAAAATCACCATTTTTAACGGGTAAATCAACTATGAATAGCCATGTTCAATAGCTATGTTAAATTAACGGAGGGTATTAATTGTGTTGCAGCCCCAATTATGTAGCAGGATATTTCACAAGCTATGCATATGTACAGGGGAAATGTGATTGCGGGATTACTTTTTAGCCCTTCCAGTTCAACGATGTGTTTACACACACATCTCCTACTTTTTGGGACATTCATAAATAATTATAGACGACATAATATATTATATTATATATGTAGACTTTTTGGGACGTACTGTGCAATCATTCATGTATGTATGTATGTAATGTAATGTAATGTAATGTAATGTAATGTATGTATGTATGTATGTATGTATATATATTATAATACCGTTAGAAATTATTCCAGGGTGACCGTGAGTTGAAGGAATAGTTTTTTTTGGAATAATTTTGGTGGAATAACAAAATGCTGCAGGTCGGGGGGGGGGTATACCCCTTTTCAGGCATATGCTGGGATGTTAGAGACCCAAGTGATGTCGTTCCAACAACTGAAGCACCCCTTAGTATCTTTCAACTGGAAGGTCTCGGAAGAATAGACTATGATTCCCAGGGTCTTGAGGATGCGGGTCACCTAGGGTATGGGACATAATATATGTATTATGTATATATATATATATTCACAAACCTATGCCTGTTCGAGATGACCACTTGCACATGTTCCGAAGCCAGGGAAGGCTCAGTTGTGCCATAGGTGGGAGGGCGTTTTACGCTTGAGCCATCTTCGTGGAAAAGCTGCGGTATCATTCCTACAGGGCTGGGATTCATCTGTTGGCAGGGACCCAACAACTTGGTTTACAGGGATATCAATATTGGATCAGGGATCCGTACAACAGTTGTTGGCTTGCTACCAATCTTTCGAGATTGGTAGCGGAGCTACCTGGTCGTGTGAGATCTAGCTCCCAGGGACCACTGAAGTGATTTGTTTCATTGCCGTGTTCGACCTGAAGGAGCCATGAGTGAAGCCTCCGGGGGAGGTGATCGTACAGGGGTTGTGCCGAAGGAATTGGCCAGCCTCGTTCCGGGTTTCGACCCTTCAGTTGACAATGTGGAGATCTGGACCAGTAAAGTAGAGCTTTTGTTGAACACATGGCCCACTGACAAACTCAATGAATTGGCAACACGTTTGATTTTGGGATGTAAAGGAACAGCCTATCAGAAGTTACAGCTCCTTCGTGCCGAAGTTTTGACTGGAACTGACAAAGGAATCAAACGCCTGGTTGAGATAGTTGGGGGTACATGGGGACAGATACCACTTGAGAAAAAGTTTGAGCTCGCCGAAAAGGCCTTGTACCGAAGTGCCCAGAAAGCCGATGAATCCTCTGAGAGCTATTTGTCGAGGTGTGACGTGACCTGGACTGAACTGCTGTCTAAGAAAGTCGATTGGAGGGAACTTCAGGCATACATAGTTCTTCGTGGTAGCAAGCTTGGACATGAGGACAAGAAACGAGTGATTGTGGAGTCCAAGGCTGAGCAAGGCAATCAGTTGACAATGGACAATGTGACCTCAGCCGTCCGTCTTTTGGGTTCAGGATTCTTTCAGGAATACACGGGGTCCCGCCGTGATGTCAAGAGTTCCAAGACCTATGACCATACTGCCTTTCAGGTTGATGAGGAATGGGACGCCGATCATGAGATTTTTGCAGCCAATGATGACATGCCTGAAGATGAAATCCTAGAGACGCTAGCAGCTGAGAATGATGAAGATGCAATTCTTGTGATGCAATTTGAAGATTCCATTGCTGATACAATTCAGTCCGACAGTGAACTTTCAGCATTCTACTCCACCTATCAAGATGCTCGCCGACGTTTGAGTGAACGTGTGAAGGTTCGAGGTTTCTGGCCGGTCTCAAAACGATTTGACAAGGGTTTTGGAAAGAAGGGAAAAGGCAAATCCAAAGGAAAGAATCCTTTCTCTGGAGCAGGGGGTTTGGCCCGCAGAATTGCCAACTCTTTCTGCCGAATTTGCATGCAGAAGGGACACTGGAAGAACGAGTGTCCTCAGAAGAACTTGCAAAGCACCAGCGGCCAGAGTAACTCCACTGCCTCGAGTTCCATTCCCACATCGTTTGTGATCGCCGAAGAGTCGCCCATGGAGTTTGCCCATCTCACAGTTGATGATGCACAGGACCCACATGACATGGAAGTATGTTTTGGGCTAACGCATAATGGGGATAGGATAAGAGGGGATAAGATAATGAAAGGGATTCAATCAGGGGTAGCTGCGTTCTCATCCCGATTCAATGCACTGTGGCGCCAACGCCTCAGGACCATGAAATCATCTGAGAACTTTACCAAAGATGCATGTGCCAAAGGACAACAGGTCCTTGCCGCGGACAGCCTGTCCCGTAGTGTTCCCGAAAGTTCGTGCAGTGAAGTTTTGTTTGCAACATCCGGCACTGTAGGCATTGTTGACCTTGGAGCCTCACAAACTGTTGTTGGAGATCAGCAGATTCCAGAACTGCTTGCAGGTTTGCCTAGCCACATTCGAAAACAAGTTACTCGCACGAACTGCAGCCTGACTTTCCGATTTGGCAATCAGCAAACGCTGAGTTGTCGCCATGCGTTGTTGCTGCCCTTGGGTTCCATGAAGTTTCGAATTGCAATCGTGCCAGGCAGGACACCCTTCCTAATCTCTAGCACGTTTTTGAAAGGGATCAGAGCTGTGATTGACACTGACAAGGGAACCTTATGGAGTAAAACCCTCAACAAAGAACTTCTCATTGAACCCAACCAGAAGAACCTTTACACTATGGATATCAATCAACTGTGGGAGAATCCATCAAGTGTGCAGCAGATGCAGAAATCCGATGCAGCCGGATTGACATGTGCGACCGAGAATAGCCAAAGAACGCTGCCAGGTTCAGAATCACCACATCATGAGATTTTGAATGTTGAAGGTCAGAGGTCACATGAGGTACATGACATACCACATGCCATGAACACGTCCAAGAATCCCATGTCACCGTGGAAACAAGATCAATGTCCAGATCAGCCAAAGTCCGCAGTGAGTTTTGCAAGTGCCCAAGTTTTCGATCCGATCGTCCATCGTCGTGCCCACGAACTCCGAGATGAGCAGCATCCAAGAGCAGCTGAAGGCCTTCCGAGAGTCTCAGCAGAAGTCCACAGATCAGTACGAACTGATCAAAATCCAGAAGATGAGCTTGGAAGAGCTGTCAGCCGAGAAGATTGCCTTTGGAAAGGCAAAGATGGGTCAGCCGTTCGAGAAAGTCTTTCAGGATGCCGCCTGGACGGATTGGTTTGTTCAGACGTACGAGAAGAGTCCGAAACCAGCTCACCAACTCTACATCAAGTATGTCGAGAAGCGTCTGAACGCAGAGATCACGGAGGACATCCAGAAGAACAAAGCCAACACCAAGGGAGCCAAACTGATTCCCAAGACCGCACAGGGATCAGAGATGACTGCAGCCGAAGTGACGTCATGGGACGAGATCTCGGAGCCGGACCTGACCCAAGAGTTCGAATTGCCTGGGATCAGCAAACTGAACCAAGTCGAAGATCAGGTGAGCAGTCTCCATCTCCAGAACCAGAACTTGGTCAACCGCATGACCCAGATGGAGATGACAATGCAGGAACTGTTGCAACACATTCGAGGACTGAGTGTGAAGGCCGAGCCATAGGATCTAGTACAGCGCCTGAAGATGTCATGACAAGCTGCCTCGATATGGATTTTGAGTTCTCCAAACCGAACCAGAGTTTTCACTATCAAGCCAAGATTCAGAAGCTAGTGAAGAAGTTTTCTCAAGAACTCAATCAAGTGATCCATCAGAGGGAGGCCAGTCGAACTCCTGCAGGCACCCGATTAGATCTCCTCGAAGTGATGTGTTCCTCAAACAGTGAACTCACCAATCAAGTCCGAAAGCTAGGTGGAAGAGCCGAAAGATTTGGGAGAGTGCAAGGAGATCTACAAACAAGTGATGGTCGGAAACGATTGTTCAGTCTGATGGTGCATGGTCGTCCAAAACATTTGTGGTATAGCCCGGAATGCAAACCATGGTGTCAATGGAGTGCTTTCAACATGAATAGGTCAGTTCAAGGACATGAAACCATTCTCAATCAAAGAATCGACAGCCTGTGGCAAGTTGCATTGGGAATTGTTTTGTTCCGCTATCAGATCCAACACAAGGGGCACTTTGACCTTGAACAACCCAGGGGTTCTGCATACTGGAAAATACCCAGCATGGATGAAGTGCTCCAGCAGACTTACTGGAATGAGTTTGACCTGTGCCGCTTGGGTGACTTGCGAGATCCCCAAACTGGCGAAGCAATTCGCAAGAGACTGACAGTCATTTCCACCTCTGAGGACATGCATGTCGCATTGCATGGCAAGCTGTGCCAAGGCCAACATCACCATAGACACATTGCCGGAAGCATTCGAATAAACAATGAAGTAATCAAGACTTCCAAATGGACCGAACTTTATCCCCAAAAGTTTGCTCGTCAGGTTGGAAAAATCATACTTCATGATTGTCCGTTGCAGGTGCCAGTAATGGTTGGTGAAGATGAACACCCCACAAAACGCAGACGGCTTGGGTCCAAGCTGAGTCCACTGGCCATTGAAGCACGCTTTGGAAGCAATGCGAGTGACATCAATTGGCAGACAGTCATGCGCCTGGCCGATCAAACGGCACCACGAGTCGGGACCCATGTTGTAGACCAAGGTGAGATTATCCAACAAATCCAACACATATGTCCTGAATATCTCATCAAACATGTGGTTTTATGCCGAGGAACTGATCGGTATGTTGGTCCTAATCGTCCGATGTTGCCCCAAACTGCACCGTTGAGACGCCAAATATGCATCCGTAGGCAAACACAGGACATACATGTAGATCCATGGGAAGCCTGGGAAGCCTTGTCAAAGAGAAACCTCAGGAAAAAGGGAGTTCCAGCTCGAGTCAGTCTCACCGTGTTTGCAGCAGCCCGACAGCCTGAATCTCCCGACAATCGATTGCCTCGAATGCTGCCTCCTGCCGATGTCACCAATGCTGGGGCGCAAAGACGCTCACATGAGGCCTTGGAAACTCCTGGTGATGCAGACCACCGTGCCAAGCGTTCCCGAGGAATTGAAAATGAGAACATGTCAGATCCCACAGTAACACTTGCACCACAGTCCACAACCACAGCCGAACGCCAAAATGAAGCCACGTCAGAAACTCAGAATGAAGAACCCCCACAACATGTCATAGACATAGCCAGCCAAAAGCATGGACCAATGTTCAACAGCCTGAAAGTTGATGAACAAAATTGGATATTGAAACTGCATCGGAACCTTGGACATCCAGGAGCGACCAAGCCAGCGGAGTTTTGTAAACAACTCCAATGCCCTGAGCATCTTTTGAAGGCCATTCATGATCTCCGATGTTCCACTTGCCAGGAGACCAGAGGACCAGTGGTATCACGGCCCAGTGCGATTCATGAAACATGTGATTTTGGTGATGTTGTCTCGATGGATGGGATTACTTGGACCAATCAAAATGGAGACCATTTTCACTTTTACCATTTCATTGATCAAAGCACGTTGTTCCACACAGCCGTAGCCACACCCGGTCGATCCACGGATGATGCCTGCAAAGCATTGTTGACAGGGTGGTTCAACTGGGCAGGCCCTCCAGGCCTATTATGCGTTGACTCTGGAACAGAACTGAACTCAGATGAGTTCAGCAGTTTCTTGCAAAGGCATAGCGTGAAGTGCAGGACATGTGCAGCCGAAGCACATTGGCAGAATGCTCGAACCGAGCGACATGGTGGCATACTCCAGCTGATGTTGAAAAAGATGGACCATGAACAACCCATTCGAACATATGAACAGCTAGCCGTAGCCCTTAGCCATGCGACAAGTACCAAAAATCAATGGAGTAAATGCAAGGGATATCCTCCTGAAATGCTTGTATTTGGAAAAGGAGTTCGAGTACCTGGTTCCATCACATCAGATCCCACGGTTTCGGCACATTCAGTTGCACTCTCCAATATGCCTGAGGGAATTCGATTCCGGCAAGATCTTGCCACCAGAGAAGCTGCGAGGAAAGCCTTTGCCGAAATTGACAACGATCAGACGCTGAGACGAGCTCTGGTACATCGCAGTAGGCCACACAGAGGCTTCTATGATAGAGGAGATTGGGTCATGATGTGGAAAAAGAAAGGTGAAGCTGATGGAAATTGGCTAGGCCCTATGCAAGTCATTATCCAGGAGGGACAAAATGTCATTTGGGTTACAAGACACCACAAGCTTTACAGGGTACCCCCAGAGTACATCAGAAGCTTGTCAGCCTTTGAGGAATTCAAGCATCAACCACATGTGACCCAAGCTGAGGGAATCCCAATGAGTATCCGACCAGCACATGGCGGAGTCCAGTTTCATGACATGATTTCTCAGGATAGCCATCAGGGCCCAGCTGTTGCTCCTGCCATACCTGCAAATTCGATGCCTGGACCCACAAGGGGACACTCCGATGAGGTGCCAACGGGTGAAACAAATAGACAAGACCAAGAATCTCTGAGTGCACAATTACCTAGCCCTCAAAATGACCAACCAGACCATGAACCAGAAGTTCCTTCCATTTCCAGCTCCACACCAAGCCATCAAATTGACCATCCTGAACCCATTGCGACACCTGCACATGAGATTCCCGTCCCAGACACCTCTGATGAAGGTGAAAGTTTATATACCCATGAAGAACCATGTTTTCACCTCCAGGAGGATCAGATGTATCGTTTTGAGATCAATGTCATGCAGAAGGATATTAACCACTGGAGAGAGGAAACTAGGCCAGAAGAAATGGCATTTTTGGTTTCTGCCGCAAAGAGACAGCGAAGTGAGGTGAAAATTTCCACTTTAGGAGTTCATGACCGAAAACTGTTTGAAGAAGCAAAGGCAAAAGAAGTGGACAGTTGGCTTTCAACCAGTACGGTATGCCGAATTCTTCGACACCAAGTGCCTACCGAGAATATCTTGCGTTGCCGTTGGATCCTCACCTGGAAAGAGGCTGATGATTCAGGAGTGCCAAAAACAGCACACCTATCGCGCCAAAAGGCCAAAGCGCGACTTGTAGTGCTTGGATTTGAAGACCCGATGGTTGACCAGATCCCAAGGGATTCACCAACAATGTCGAAATTGTCAAGGGTCCTCATCCTCCAACATGCTGCAAGCCGAGGCTGGGACATACACAGCTTTGATATCAAGACTGCCTTCCTTAGAGGAAATGAAAAGAGCAGCAGGATTCTTGGATTAGAACCTCCGGCTGAAATGCGAACGCAAATGAAGCTGAAACCGGGGGAAATTGTTCGGTTGCTGAAAGGGGCATATGGCAGGGTTGACGCGCCATTTTTATGGTTCCAAGAGTTGAAACAGAGCCTTGAACAATTGGGGTTTGAACCTACTCCTTTTGACCCTTGTGTGTTTATTCTCCGAGATCAGCAACAGCAAGCCGAAGGTTTAATTGGTATTCATGTAGATGATGGATTATGCTGTGGATCACCACGATTCCACCAAAAGCTGGCCCAACTCGAAGCCAAGTATCCCTTTGGAAGCAAGAAGAGCCGAGAATTCACGTTCACTGGACTTCGAATCTCTCAACAAAAGGATCAATCCATTTGGGTGAGTCAAGAACAATATGTAAAGGATATACACCCAATAACAATCCCCAAAGAGCGAAGAATGGTTCCACAAGATGCAGTGAATGAAGGTGAGAGACAGTCCCTACGTGCGTTGGTAGGTTCTTTACAATATGCTGCTGTAAATACTCGTCCAGATTTGTGCAGTAAGCTCGGATGGCTCCAGTCTCAGATCAATAAGTGCACGGTTGGGACCCTCATTGAAGCAAACAAAATTCTCCATGAAGCAAAGATGTTTGCCTCAGTTACAGTGAAGATACAACCGATACCACTTGACCACTTGAGATTTGTGGCCTTCTCAGATGCGTCGTTTGCCTCAGAAAAGGTTCCTGATTCTCACCAGGGAATGCTCATCATGGCCAGTCACAAAGACATCGGTGACAACAAGAACAGTCCCGTGAATCCCATTGTTTGGCATTCAAAGAAAATTCAAAAGGTGGTTGTCAGCACACTCTCTGCAGAAGCGATGTCACTGGCAGGAGCGGTGGACATTTTGTCCTGGGTTCGTTTATACTGGGCTCGGTTGCGAGATGGAAAATGCAAATGGCAAATGGCCGACGACACACTCATGCGTTTGCCACCGGCGTTTGCAGCGATACCTCCTTCCGAAGAAGAATCCAACTTCAATAACACACCTAACCCTGACCTACTGAAACAAATCAACTTCAAAAACAAAGATATCATCACCACTGACTGCAAGTCCCTTTTTGACCTTATAAGTAGACATGCACCACCGTCATGCCAAGAATTTAGAACCCAACTTCAAGCAAAATTGATAAAGGAACACCTGAACAATGGAATCATGATCAGATGGGTACCATCACAAGCTCAACTAGCAGATGCGCTCACCAAGTGCATGGATGCCAGTGTTTTGAGAGAATGTATGGAAAGAGGCCGCTACAGTCTCCACGATGAAGCGCAAATCTTGCGTGCCCGCTCAGATTCCCGAGCACGATTGCAATGGCTCCGAATGATGTCCAGTGATTCCAAAGGGGATGGAAACAGTCTCTCCCATAATGGAAAAGCCAAGCCGTCCATTCAGTGAGAATCTTACTCTGTTTTCCTGTTAATTTTGTGTTGGTAGCTGCCTTTACGACAGACAACTGGGGAAGCGAATCACTTTGACAGAATGGCGAGCTGATGCATCTCGAACAAAAAGAGAAGATTGGGAATCACAAACCTATGCCTGTTCGAGATGACCACTTGCACATGTTCCGAAGCCAGGGAAGGCTCAGTTGTGCCATAGGTGGGAGGGCGTTTTACGCTTGAGCCATCTTCGTGGAAAAGCTGCGGTATCATTCCTACAGGGCTGGGATTCATCTGTTGGCAGGGACCCAACAACTTGGTTTACAGGGATATCAATATTGGATCAGGGATCCGTACAACAGTTGTTGGCTTGCTACCAATCTTTCGAGAATATATAACTATACACATACACATTCACATACTACATACACATACACATCCATCCATTCATCCATGCATGCTTGCATGCATGCATACATACAGACATACAGACATACACACATACACACATACACACACATACACACACACACATATATATATATATACACATACACACACACATACATACGCAGATACATACGCACATACATATACTGTATACATTTGCACAAATATACAAGTATATCTCTATACACAGTATAGAAATATATATACAAATACACACACACACACATTTCCATACCCCCCCACAAGGTGCGGTTGTCGAAGTTGGTTAGTTTATAAACATGAACCCCCCATTAACAGTGAATTTTTCCCATGTTAAACCATGTTAAATCCAATAGTTAAAGCATGTGAAACCTCCATCATCCCCAACCGGTGTGAAGCACCAGGAGTTCGGCCTCAACGACGAGCCAAATGACTGAACCCAGGACCGTTGACCCGTTTCACCTTTCCGGCGGAAGCCGCGCCGGCAGCGCTTCGCTGCACCCGGAGGGTTCAGTTGTGAGACATCCCAGTGGAGTTAGCTTTGGGATGGGATGGGGCACATGATGGACATGTTGAGGCTACATATGGATATAGGGTGATATAGGATGATACATGGTTCGCAAGATGGTCGATTTTCAGCCTTCATTAGGCTGTAGAATGGACACATCCTAAAGATTTTAGCGTCCTAGATGTTGGGTCGAATATCACGGCAGTTGCGGGCGATTGAATATGACAGAGGCCACAGATGTCGCAACGCGTCACAGCCCTTGTTGGGGCGTTTGCAGAATCGCAACGTTTCACCGTTTGACTGCACAGCATGCGCATGTCATGAAAATGCGGGATCAGACGAGAGAGCTAGAGCCGGTGCAAAGTTTTTCCGGATACCTGTGTCCGCTATGTGAGTGCCATTCCAAATTGAAAGCTGTGGGGCACACAAGTTTTGGCAGTTTTGGAGTTTTAATATGTATGGGTGGTATATTGCCTTTGGTTTTTGACCCATATCCAGCTTCCAATTGATATCTATGCCTAAACGCAAGGGTTGGGTGTTGACAAGGGTTAAGAGAACCAAGGATTGGAGCTTCCCATATTCTGACAAAGCTGACTCCAGTTCAAGGAGCTTGTTGGATGTGCATTCCGGGAATCATAGGTCGGTGATAACCACATGGTGGTTTCCTACAATGGGGGCACCCCAATAATGGATGGTTTACAATGGAAAAACCTATGGAAATGGATGATTTGGGGTACTCCGATTTTAGGACCCCCCCTTACTAACCACTTACTAAGTGGGATGTACTCCCATGCAGAGACAGTTTGGCATGTTTGGAGACTTCTGGTGTCCAAGGTGTGTCCAAGGTTTTCGCTGGTGTTCAATTTTTCACTCCCAAGGACTACCCAAAAAGGGGTGACCCCGGTCTTGGCAGATTTATCCATGTTTAATTATATGCCACACATACTTTTAAAGCAGATCATATGGTAAAACATAGTAAAGCATGGTAAACCTTAAAAGTGGCTATGGTTTCCTCTTGGGCTTCCCACATGAATGACATACCACGCTTGGATCTATGATGATCTATGGACGCTGCGTCTCGATGGTCCAGCAGATGGAAAAACGATCAGTTTGGAGGGTATCATTCGCTTTCCCAAACGTCTTTGGGTTTGTCCAGAACTGCGGGTTCACCACATTCATCAACTTCACCCACGGAAACACGGAAACAGCATCCAGGTAGCTTAGGATGGCCGAGAAGCGGCCACTCTAGGAATGACCCAGTTAAGAGTGACCCCCAAAGAGATAGAAGACCAAAGCAGAGATCAAGGAAGGAGGCTGCGGAGCTTTTCTATCGTTTTCAGGGCTCGTATACGGAATGTCGGCAGCTGATGGCATAAAGGGGTTGCAGATGGTTGCAGTGAATTTGGAGCATGGAACGGTTAAGCTTTGCAAAACAAAAGTGTAGCTTAACATCGACCATACCACGCGCAGACACGCAGACACTTGCGCCATGGTTGATGTGAGTCGTACCATCGAGTTGGAAGACTTCCACAGGCGGAAACCCGGCGGGTTTGTCCAAAGGGTATCCCATGGTATCAGTGGGCCTGGTGTTCCTGGCGTTGGGGGTTTCTCACCACGGCTACCAAAGAAGGTAAAATGGTGCAGACATGCTCTAATTATTTATGGGAATATCAATGGGAAAGATGATGGACCATGATGATAAACATTGATCACGCAGGACAAAAAATTGGGCAACCTTTTCAGCCACAGACCAAGCAACTTGGATCCTCCAAGTGGGTGACGGAAAACCATGACTGTTCCGGAGTTGTGCCAGGTGGAATCGAGTATGTCACACTCGCAAGACCCAGGCAGGGCCGGGATTGCGCCGACCAAGCCCGTGGCCCCCCAGTGAGGTCGATTATGATCATGTTTTATTTGTGCAATACGACGTGCACCAAATGCATATCATATCATACCATACCATATCATATCATATCATATCATATCGTACCACATCATATCATATACTATCATATCACATCATATCATATAATACCATACCATACCTTACCATACCATACCATATCATATCATATCATATAATACCACCTCATATCACATCATACCATACCATATCATATCATATCATACCACATCATATCACATCATACCATACCATATCATATCATACCACATCATATCACATCGTATCATATCATATAATACCATATCCTACCACATCATATCATATCATATAATACCATATCATACCACATCATATCACATCGTATCATATCATATCATACCACATCATATCACATCGTATCATATCATATAATACCATACCATATCATATCATATCATACCACATCATATCACATCGTATCATATCATATAATACCATATCATATCATATCATACCACATCATATCATACCACAACATATCATATCATTATATATATATATATGTGTGTGTATAAAATATCCACATGTCAATGCCGTGTTTGTGTGCCCTTCTCACTTTCTCTTCCTCTTTCTTCTTCAGTTTTCACCTGTTTTCGACCGTTTTTTCTCATCGAAGGACAAGTATCAAGCGCTGGTGAAGGAGGCACAGGACCGAAACGCCAGGCATCCAAGATGATTCCGTGAGATTTTATAGCTGTTGGCCCATGGCTTGGATGGGACATGTTGCAAGCCTGGGTTTTTAATGGTTTTTAGCCCTAGATTCGCCCTAGATGTAAGCTATTGTAAGCTGATATTCAAGGGTTTCAGCTTTTTCCAACTGTCAAACAATTGACCATAATTGGGTCTATAGTGGTCTTTTTCCATACATCAATGCCGTTTTCCATCAACCGAATTCAATAGGAAATGGCGTTGGGGTGTTCCATGGTTTCCCATAAAACAATTTATTAACAGATTGGAAATTCCATGCGAAAAGACCCACCTCATCCGCCTCTTAGGTCGACGTCAGAGATATTCTGACGGAGCGCAAGCACGGGAAGCTCAGCACGAATTGAAACTGCTTGAAATTCCTGGCCCTTGAGAGATTTGACGTAGGCTCCACAGTGAAAGCAAAGAATTAGTTCAAATCATAGGTGAAGCAGATCAGGGTGGTACCCTCCAAAAGGCAACACTCATAATGAGTCAATCTACCCGTGTGAGAATGCACAGTTCATTGACCCTGGGTTGTAACATGGTGTAACCCACACACACAGAATATATAAATATGATATTCTAATAATATAATGTTTATATATATATTATATGTATGTAAATATTCATATACATGGATTATATATACATATATAACTGGGCTATACTATGGTTATACCAAGCACGTCCCTTTGAGGCACATCCAGCCATCCCGGCAGAGGTTCAACAGCTGGGCCGAGTTCGCAGACAGCTGCGGGCAGTTCCCATTGCGATGCAGGTCTGATCTGCTGGAGACGGTGATTCACTGGTGAAATTTTCATGGTGAAATATATCATGAAGGGATGTAAATGGATGTAATTCCATGGATTTCTATGTCATTTTTGTTATATTTAAGTTATTTTTGTTTGGTTGACTTGTAATGTGTGTGTTTTCATGGTTTCGTGCTGTTTTTTTTGGGCTTTGACGGAGTATGGGCATGTATGGGCGGGATTTGTTTAATTAGCTGGTGCCCCATGGTGAGCTAAGTTGCTTTACAACTCCAATAACTAGGATCCAAGAGACCCATCGAACTAGTCAATGGCTCTAAACCAGCGGCCTCCCGGCATTGAATCCGGCGCATTTTGGATCTCCAGGGAGCACAGCATGCACCATGGGTATAGGGGGTATGCCCGCGTGGGAACTCACAGCCACAAAAACTCCAGAACAAATGCCGGCCTTTTGAAGTCGGTACCAGTCATGGACAATTCCTTCAGTCGACTCAGTGATTCCCTCGAAGCAAACTGCTTACCGAAAGTATGCAGCAGGACAATTCGATTTTCAAATGACCAGCAGCAGATAGCAGCAGGATCCCACCTGAGAAGCAGCCCACCATGAAACCGTTCACAGAAATCAGGAGGTCGCCTTGCGTATCCGCCATGGCGTCGCCCCGTGATGTGTCGCCTCCTGCGCGGCGTCGGAATAGTCTCCATGACCGAGACTATGCACCGGTGGAAACCGATGTCGCAGGAGACTGACGCAAGTGTGGGGTGCATCCCAAAGATCGGAAGTTTGTTGGATGGTTTTTTTTGATGGTTTACCCTCTGGTTATGTCAAAATAGCTATTGAAAATGACCATAGAAATAGTGGATTTTCCCATTAATAGCATGGTCATTTTCCATAGTTATTTTGACATAACCAGAGGGTATACCCCACAAAAAACTGTGGTATACTCCACTCAACTGGGCCATCAAGCTACCAAAATCTGCGGCTTTCTGCAACCTCCCCACGGACTGATGCTAAAATATCAGCCCCCAGTCATCACCATGGCGCGGAGAAAACCATTCCCAGTGCTGGTAAAAATGGCATTGTTTTAACCACATAGGAAATCCCATAAGGGGTTAGTATAGATTCTGTGTCCCATCATAGAAATACAATTAAAATTCATTACATCCCATTAAAATCCATTAAATCACCATAGATCCAATGAAATTCTATGAAATCATCATGTAATCACCATAGAAATCCCATTGGAAATTCCCACCATGTTTTTTGTCGCCGTTGAAAAAACGGAGGCGAATGTCGCCGATTGCTGGGATGCAACCTAGCGGTGGCCATGCTTTGTGTGCTCTTCACGCGCCTCGGAAAGGGAGGGAAAGCTCCGAAGGTACCGGGCACCCCAAAAGGATCCAATAGCTGGATGGTTTTTGACATGGATAATACCCATATGAAAATGGAGAAAATCCTATGAAAATGGATTATTTATGAGATGATTTGGATTGATTTAGGAGTATAGCCTTAAAATTTGGGACACCGAAAATCTGTGAATCTGTGACTTCAAAATCCCGCTTTGGCATTGGATCTGGTCATTTCGGTCATATCGGGGGGGTATTCAACATGATTGGGAGGATGGAACTAGATTGCACATGCCGTTGCATAAAAGGTCGAAAAAAAACGTGGATTTAGGATGCTGCTTGTCTGTCCTGATATGCGTATGAAGTTCCAGTGGCAAACAAGCATTAAATGGGAGACCTCTTCGTCTTGCAATTGTATATACTGGTTGGTGGTTTGGAACATGTTTTATTTTTCCATATATTGGTAATATATAATCCCAACTGACGAAGTCATATTTTTCAGAGGGGTAGGTCAACCACCAACCAGAATTATATGTTTTTATAGGTCAACCACCAACCAGAATTATATGTTTTATAGGTCAACCACCAACCAGAACTATATGTTTTTATAGGTCAACCACCAACCAGAATTATATGTTTTTATAAGTCAACCACCAACCAGAATTATATGTTTTTATAGGTCAACCACCAACCAGAATTATATGTTTTTATAGGTCAACCACCAACCAGAATTTTTATAGGTCAACCACCAACCAGAATTATATGTTTTTATACGTCAACCACCAACCAGAATTATATGTTTTTATACGTCAACCACCAAACAGAATTATATGTTTTTATACGCCAACCACCAACCAGAATTATATGTTTTTATAGGTCAACCACCAACCAGAATTTTTATAGGTCAACCACCAACCAGAATTATATGTTTTTATACGTCAACCACCAACCAGAATGATATGTTTTTATAGGTCAACCACCAACCAGTATATCTTTACCTTTAAGGTATTCTTTTGTCTGAGCCTTGCAAGGGAACAGCATTTCTTCCCAGCCATTTAAGGGATGAACTCCCAGATGATTTTCCCCAGGATCTGCTGCTTGGTGGTGACGGTGATCATGGATCCTGTGTCCTCCAAGGCGGGGAAATCATGGAAAAATAGAAAGCGAAGCACCAAAGATAGTGACATCATGGGATATATAAGTCTCGGCACACACACATATGTATATAACATATATATATATATATATATGCACCCGTGGTGGCATACATAACCAACACTATGATATGTGGGATTGTTTGAAAATGGGGGATATACCTCTTATATCCGGCAAATTAAGAAGGAACATCATCAACATTGATAAAAATTACCCTAACATTTTGGGGTTGGCCCTACTTTCGGACAAACCCAAATAGACCATGTTGGGGAGAGTTTTCAACATGTTTTTCCGAAGTTTTCAACAATGTGTAAGCTGAGTAACTTGTATCAGGACCTGAATGCTTGGACGTGCATTTCATCTAGTAAATAGCTAAACAGGATGTATAATATAAATGGGTGATCAGCGAAAAAAGACCTGTATATACATGTTGTTCAAAACGTGGCAGGAGTTCTATGTTGGTTAGTAACCACTGACTATTCTATAATGGCTGTTATATTCTGGGTTAGCCACTGGGCAGGTCGGAAGTGCCTCCAGACTTCACCCTGCCACTCGGCCTTAACCGCTTGAGACGAAAGATGGTGGCTATACTATATATAACTATAATGAAGAAGCTGATGATATAGTGATTGAGAATGATTGAGAACTATAGTGAATTCCTGAAAGATGGTGGCTGCAGTCAATTTCACCCTGAGGTATATATAGTAATATAGTGATTGAGAACTCATTGTCCTGACATTTCACATATCCCACGGTATCTGAAGTTGATATCAAGATACATCAAGCATGAATTCATCAAGAAGCAGGACCCCACCAGACTGCGACTTTCGACCACTTTCGGAAGCGAACAATTTGACGAGAAACCATATTAATTAATGGGATATTGTGGGATTATCATTATTTTTTAATGACATATTTGGGATTTGACAAGGGTTGATCGATTTTTTTAGGGACACACACACACACATATACATATATATATATACTATTGGGATGTAATGGGAACCATTGGGATAAGCAGAGGGTTTATCAAGGTTTATCTTTTGGTGTCATCAAACATGGCAAGCCGGGAGATAGCCTCTACATCCAACCAAATGGGGGATTTTCCAGCACGCCATGTTTGAATATTGGAGGTACCCTCTGGTTATGTCAAAATAGCTATTGAAAATGGCTATTTATAGTGGATTTTCCCATTAAAAATGGTGATTTTCCATAGTTATGTAAACGTTTACCAGAGGGTAACTGGTGAAATCAGAAAATAATGGGGTGTACTGTACATACTATACTTGTTGGAGGATCAGGGTCTCACCTGCGGTATCCCCTGAAAGAGGAGGCTTGAATAAGCACAGGCTTGGATTGTTGCCGCCAGGCCCTTGCAAAGCCTTGATTGATAAGATTACGGATAGTACGGCACGCCCAGCCGTCTGCAAACACAGTCTTGTTCCCTACTAAAGAATCAGTTTGGAAGCATTGGAGATTGCAAGTCCCCGATTGTTTCCCATAGGATCCATGTATATGGTATACTAACATTTGGGGTATATTGATGGTAAATGTTACCATATATAGCAGCACCATGGATCCTATGGGTTTGGGAAATGCTTGGTGCAATCGTCCCCGTTTTTCCCACGTGGCTTTCGAGGCACCACATCTGGCCCCGTCTCCTGCCACCGAATCTTGGGATCCGAGCGACGCCTGGCACTCCCCGGCCCCCGCGCCGACGGCCGCGCCGACGGCGCACCGGACATCGCCGTGGCCCGAGTGGCCGCAGTGGCCCACCACGGCGCGGAGCACGCCGCGACCCACGCGCGCGCCACCCATGGTGCTGATTACGGGGCCACCGGATGCCATGGAATGGAAACCTAGGTGCAGAACTCAGGGCGAAACTTGGGTGAAAAGTGAGGTCCCAAGAGGGCCCTAAGAGGGCCCTAAGAGGGCCCTAAAAATTGGGCAGCTTGTAGTATGGGATCATGCGTTTTTTTTTTGGGGTGATAATTTTGTATAGTTTTGATCAGTCCCATGTTTTGGATGGTTTCTGAGACCTTTGTCTGGGATGGTTTCGAAATGTTTCAGCAGTGCCATGTTTTCAAGGTGGGATGATCCATGATGATTCCAATTTTGATGGAATTACCCTCTGGTTATTTAACATAGCCATGGAAAATCACCATTTTTTATAGGTAAACCATCTATAAATGGGCCATGGCTATGTTAAATAACCAGAGGGTAGGTTTCTCAGAGCCATAGTTTCCAAACTTGCTGAACTGGTTGTTCTTGGGGCGTTTCGCAAAAACTGTTGGGACCTGTTGGGATTCCAAATTTTTGTGGGCTGTCAACAGGTTGTTTTGCTCGAAGGTTTGATTTTGATGTGTGCCAGGTGATGCTAATGCAAAAATTATTATCATCTATGACATGATGATCATGACCACGATGGTGATGATTGTGGTGATTGCGACTATGGCGATGATCGTGGCGATGATCGTGGTGATGATTGTGGTGATGGTTTGATGGTGACGACGATGGTGGTGATTATGATGATAATATATAATGATGATTATCATGATAATAATGATAATAATGATGATAATAAACATGATAGTTATCATGTAATATGATATGTATACATTTATATATTTATATCGATGATGATGATGATGATGATGATGATGATGACGCCAACGATGATTATGATAAGTATGAGTATGATTATGAATACTAGTATTAGTATTAGTATTAGTATTAGTATTATTATCATGTTTGTTATTATTTTTGTTGTTACCATTGTTGTCATTACTATAATATAGCTTAGAAAGTATCTGCCCCAAGATGCCAAGATCCTGTGGCCTGCGCCAGGGATGAGGTCGCACCATCCCCCTCTGATGAAGGAAGGTTGTTCATTCCTCAGCCAGCAGATGCTGGGGATGTCGTTTGAAGCCTTGCGACCAGCGCCTCTTTTTTTACTATGGCCATGGAACATCACCATGTGAAAAATTGGTCAAGTAGTATATAAATCATCCATAAATCATCCATAAATCATCCATAAATCATCCATAAATCATCCATAAATGGGCCATGTTCAAAATCATTTTTTTATAGCCCGGGGCTTCCAAGGCGATGACGGTTCAGAGATACTATCAGTTCTCGATTTCGGGGCGATGTTATGATCTGCTGCACCAATTCAGTGGTAGTCAGAAGAAACTACCGCAGCTATCGCATGAAGGAAAGATGCGGGTTCTGCTGATGAGATGTTCTGAGGGTGAAAACTCAGGGATTTGCGTAGTTTCAAATCATTGATATCTTTGGTATATTGATTCCTTAGCCCATCCATTTGTATTTGTTGTTGAGTGTGGTTATCTTGCTGTAGTTGCTTAGCGGGCTGGAACTGGAAGCATTTCTCAGCCTTTGGACCTTGAAAGATGGAGGTCTAATCTTGAATCTTGGAGGACCCCTGCCCTGTTCGGGTGGTATTGGCGAGGCTATAATTCAGCAAGAACCGTGATCAATCTATGTGTTGAGATTCATGTGTACCCTCCGACACCCAGAGTTTTTTATGGAGATGGCATACCCCCTACATTCCCCTACCAGCGGCCTTTTCTAACCTTTCTTTCATTGGATTGGTTTAAGGGAAAATTTACAGGAAAGCCCCATATTTAATGGTGAAAACCATGGTTTCCTGTAGATTTTCCCTTAAACCAATCCAATGATTCTTGCAGGCTTAAGGAATTTAGCGAACTTGGCTGGGCCGCTCAATGCCGGTGCTTTCCGGCCCCCCTGGAGGAGCCGGAAAGGGTGCGGCCTTGGAGGGGCACTCTAGTACTCTAGTAATCTCTAGTATATACCCTCTGCTTATTTAACATAGCCATGGGAAATGGCCCATAGAAATAGATGGTTTACCTATTAAAAATGGTGATTTTCCATGGCTATGTTAAATAACCAGATGGTAATTCAATCTTTTGCATGGCTACTTGTAGCGGCTAGGGCGAAAAAAACGAGCACCAACCAATAGCAACCATGCCAGGCTACAAACGTTACTGTAGTCGTATCATCTCGTGAAAAGTCGTATCGGGAGGCCGTGCGCCTGGAAAATTTGATTCTGGCATCACAAATCATCACAACAAGAATGGCCATGTAAGTAGACTCAACCAGACCCTGGGTCAGCCTGGGTCCGTTGCCATTTTCGAAACGTTCCGGAAGGGTTTTCAAACCCAGGTTCTGGTTGGGTCCTCTATTTCTACTTCCTTCGCTTCATGATGTTCGGATCTCAGCGGATGCCAGATGGTGTCTGCTACGGCTTCAGTGGATGGAAATATGTTGCAGGTACATTTAGATATACATTTAGATCATTCTAGCTGCTCTAGCTCTTTCTCATAGTCTTTCTTCAGAATGTCACTTTTGTTGGATCACGACAAGAAGCAGGATCATCCCCATTCACCCAGATTTCTGCGGCTTTGCTGCGGCAGGGCTGTGATGTTCATTTTCGTGATCATGCACTTCCCGGTGCGGCGTAAACTTGGATCTTCAGGGTGGTTCCCAGCTCCCTCGGAGTGTAAACTTGGACCTGGGGATCATTGGGATATATATATATATATATATTGGGATAATGTTGGGATAATGGATATTAGTGGATGAGAATGGTAATTTAGTGTAATTTATCTGTTTTTTTATCTTTAACCACTAGAATCACTAGATTTTTGGAAAACTTCGAAGCAACCGGTCGTCGCACACCTTCCATTTTTAAGAGAAAGGTCATCCAAGAAAGGGGAAAATCTATTCCTCAGAACTTGGTGTAACCGTTGCACACCATATCAAGAAGCACGTATTAACCATAATTTAGCCACATATTACAGTAAGCATATTAACCGGTTGTTAATCAGATTAAGCAGTTTTTTCCGAGATACCAACCGTATTTTTTGTTCTCGCCGCTCAGATTCTCATTATCTACGCCACACACGGCAGCTTAGAGGAGTTGGGAAGCTCAGTTGTTCAGGTACCAGCCATTGTTGTGCAGCACAAATTGGTTGAGTTTACCTTGGGGTGTGCGCGCACACACAGAATAACATGTAAAATATTACATACTTATGCACCCTTGTTTATGTATAGCTATGTGCACATACATATATAAGCGTATAAACCGTTTTCAATATAATTATATATATATTATATATAATACATGATATATCTAGTTCTTCATTTGCAAACCTGCACATATTAAACAAAACATCCTAATCATAAACGTTTGAACATGCAACTCATGTTTCATGGGCTGATGTTTTTGTCAACATGCCATGCGTCAAAAGCACAGATCCAAAAATGATGACACATGCAAACATCTTCACACGCACAGTGTAAAAAAACACCGGTTGGTTACGTTGACAATTATGGGATATTAATGTGGGTAAATCAAGAATAAGCCACCCATGAGCCCATGACTGGGAATGGCTTGTATCACTTATTTATGGTGATTCGGGGGATGGTTTATTGTTTTACCCACATTATAGGGGATTAAACTGACCAAAAAAAAGGGGATTATCTCCATCCAAAAAGGGGGAATCCCTATCGACAGTATGCCTTTCAACCAGTGGAAAGGGACGACATAGGGTATAGGGTTTAAAAAACTCTGCTCATATGGGTTTGCCTGAAAATAAGAAGATTACCCTCTGGTAATTTTTAACAGTTTGCCAACTGGAAAATGGCCCATTGAAATAGTGGATTTACCCATTAAAAATTGTGATTTTCCATAGTTATGTAAACGTTTACCAGAGGGTATTGGTGATCAACTTCTGGCCGTCCATTGATGGCTGGAACTTGGGGTGCCAAGGTAGCAATTGTTACTCCAAAGATAGTCATAGAATGGTATAGATAGGTAACTTTATGTTAGACATCGAAATTTTGAGGCATAAATGCGGCATAAATGGTTATTTATACAAGATTATACAAGTATGTATGTATATGTGCAAATTGGTATGTAGAGATTGTTGTATTTCCATAGCCACATTTTTCCTTTTCAAACCCTCCTCCCCTCCCCCGCTTTGTTCAGGTGGAGCGAACCACACAGCTTCGCTCCTGAGGTGGATTTGGCATGGCTCAAAGCAGGACGTTCTTTTCCCCCTAAAACTGGGTCAATCTTGGTGAGGGGAACATGTTTTTCCCACACTTAGCTCAAATTCATGTGTTGTTTAAATCAGATTATGGGTATGTGCAAATGCTGGCCGGAAGTGCTGATTCGAGAAACATGGGGGAACTGCAGAGAGAGAGAGAAAGAGAGAGAGAACCGCAGTCCGGAAACATTGAAGGACAAACGGTTGAAAGAGGGAATAGGTGACAAGCACGGAGTTTTCAATTGGGTGCCTACTAGCTGCAGTGGTAGCAGGGGTCCATCCATGCAGCATTCTAAGTGTGGTCGTTGAGTCCCGTTACGGGCATGTTTCACTTCCGTATTCATATAGCATCACTGCATATTCTTGGAATGGAGTCACGAACGCGGGAAACAATTATTCAAAGTCTATCCATTTCCGATATAATATCATATAATTCATATAATACATCTACAAAAATCTATAGTCTATATCTATAAAAACAAATCTATAGTCTATATGTCTTTATCTATAACTATATACTAGATCTATAAAGATCTCCGCGAAAAACTGCTGAGATGTTGGCATTTCATCCGGTTCGTCAGGCTCATCCCAGGCCGACACCACAGGTGCGGTGCGCGGCTGCGCGGTTCTGCGCGGTTCTGCGCGAGCCGCGTTCGGTGATGACGGGTGATGTTTGGTTGAGGACCCATGGAGATACCCTCTGGTAATTTAACGTAGCTATTGAAAATGGCCATTAATAGTTGATTTTCCCATTAAAAATAGTGATTTTCCATAGCTATGTTAGTTTACCAGAGGGTACTATGGATATGGGGGTGATAGAATCTGTTTGGAACATGAATTTTATTTTTCCATATATTGCGAATAAGGTGAACAACTGACTAATATTTTTCAGAGGGGTAGGTCAACCACCAACCAGTAATATATATTAATATATGCAATATGGAAATATATGGAAACACATTGGAATACTATGATTTACTATGGATGATACTATGGATTATACTACTGGATATTACATATTGATATTGATGGATGTTGATCGAGGGACTGGTGTGGTTTGAAGTCGCACAACATGCTTTGTTTGAGTCATATCTAGTGAGGTAAAGTCACCGAAAAGCTTCTGTTGGCAGCACCTTTGAAGCTGGTCCAAAGGCACCTTACACATCCTTACACCAAGTATCAATTGGCAATGTCAACTCCACGGAAACACCGACACGCAGAAATGTGCGCTCGTCGCGTGGTAAACCCAGCAACGAAGTCGAGTGTGGCTTTAGCAACCTTAAACAAATGTATCGTTTCTTAACAAGTCTTAAGTCTTAAGAGATATTTGCGGATATTTGGGTTTAAAAGAGTCTAACACATATCTATTGGTTATTCTCCTTCAGCACCAGTTCTATGTTCAGTTTCGTTCTTGGTTGCCATCGTAGAAGACTCACGCGCGCTTCCCCGTTGCAGCGCAACCTGGGGGGGTCGCAGCGTATGGGTCCCGGCCTGGGCGATTGAGACTGCCCCATGGCTGCAACATATCTGGCTCCGGGTCAAAATGGGGCTTTTTTGTGCGGGTTTAACGGTGGTTTAACGGTTTAACATTGGCTTTAAATGTTATTCGCTATCAGCAATGAGCGATCATGGAGTTTGCTATCATCTGGAGGTTTGCTAAAGTTAGGGATCCACAAGTCAGCATGGGTTTCACTATGTTTCACATTACCAGGGACTGACTTGGATATCTTGGATATCTTGGATGATTTTGGGGTACACCAATCGGTACAGGTTAAACACCCATGGTGTTTGGCCAGACTCGCTGGCCTCGCGGGGGCCCTTAGGTCCCTGAGGGATGAGGATTCAAAGCCCAAGTTCGGGAACTTGCAGCCCTTCCTCGCCACGGTCCCCGCAACTCGGCTTCGTCAGAGTGGTGAGAAAAGTGGTGGGAGATGTTCAGTGGGAAAATGTCGCAGGCTGAAAATGGATCTTTCTGAAATCCTATCCCAGATGCTCCATGGTGCTGGAATATTTACCATCATTTGCCCGAACAAAATCACCCAAATGTAGGTAAATATACCATACATGGAGCGTATGGGTATTCCTATTCAATATGTTTCCTTTTCTGTTTGTGCTCTTGTAGGAATGTACATGGTTTGTGGTCTCAAATGTTTTTTCTGGGAATGGGAGGATGATTCCATCGCAAATAACCAACATATCTTTCATGATTTTTCCGGGGGTGGCTCAACCACCAGCCACATGTGTGAGGAGCACTGCTAAAAGCACGACAACATGGCAAACTCGAAGCTGCCCATTGAGTGGGAGGTGGAGGGATCGGCAAAACACAGGAGCCTCGTTGATGTGGGACATGGGTTCTTAAAGCCAATCGTTAGTCCGAATCAGCGCAATCGAAATTATATGAAGACGTAGGTCATGTTCAACCTGAATGGGCATACACATGCATATATATATATATATATATCATATATGTATATAGTTACATGTTTTGATTTATAATGAATGGGAGACAGTTGCCACTGGGGCTCACTGAATTAACAAACTTAATGGAAATTGTATGATTTTGTATGACTTTATGACGTTTAACCTTAGTCATTTTCATGTCCTGGGCCAGCTGCAGCCCTTTTTGACAATCCTTGATCGGTGAGTTTGGAGCCAGCGATGTTGATGCCATTAATTGATGTCAAACCAGGGCCCAATATGATTTACAATGATTATAATATATCTTAATGAATCTTCTAGCTGCAAATTGAAACTAGCATGAAATCACTACCTTAGGCCTTAGGAATCCTTCGGACCTATAGGAAGGCCTTGTTCCCCGTGAAAAAGCAACTGGTGCAAGAAGGCATCGCCCCTGGACCTTGCCAAAAATCCCAGGGTTTCATTCTGGTTCCATCAATGTACAGGAAATCAGAGCCGATCTTTGGCTTTGTTGAAGGGGCTCAATTGAAAAGAACTGCGGAATGAGTCACAATGATCAAGCCCGGAAACGGATGATCAACGTACTAAGGGATCAGACCCGCCCTCAGCACGGAAACTTTGGCTTCAGGACTGTCAGGACTTGCTTCCACGGAGAAGGTGTCTACCTCTGTGATTTTTGGAGGCAGGACTGGGGCGCGGCTTGAGTTTAGCAGTGAACTCCGCGCACATGGCATATTTGTATGTGTGCACGTATGGTACAATGCATGCATACACACATACATTATGTATATATGAAAAAAAGAAACAGTGTATATGTATGTATGTGTGTGTGTGTGTGTGTTTTGTTTAATACTTCAGTGTGTGCCAGGAACTCTGAGCAAAAGGCTTTCGGCAAACTTTCCATCGCCACTTTGTCGCCACCTCTGCCCCAAATGCATATGCATCCAGTGCATCTCAACTATCGATGCTGGGGGGTCATAGCATCCAGGTCCATGGATTGTAGTCCTGGTAATTATATGTAATTATGACTTACGGTCCCACGTAGTTACCTTTGTTTCTCCATGTAAAGGATGTGGGTTGCCTCGTTTTTTCATTTTTCGACAGTTGTCCATAGTTCTTCATTGTTTTTTTCCTGCATTTTTCACGGTTGTTCATTTTTTTTTGTTTCAATGTTTCATAGATTTTTCATCGATTTTTCCATGGTTTCCCCATGCTTTTCCACCAGTTTTCCCATGGGTTTCCCCATCAAAAAAACCGCCACCGGCCGCAGATACGCCCCCTCCCGCCTCGGCGCGGGAGTATGGCCTGTGGCGCCCGGGCAGGAGGCGGCTGCCGCAACGCATCCAAGAGGAGGCGCTCCCGGGGGGTTGGAAAACCCATGGGAAAACCCATGGGAAAACCATAGGAACAGGGAGATTTCATGGGATTTATAGCTGATGTTAGCTGATTTATGATGATTTATGATGAGTTGCCTTAGACTCACTTGTAACTTGGTGAATTCTAGGGTTTTATTGGGGGGATACATAACTATACTACAGTTAGTGGAGGTTAGACAAACATAATCGGGTGGCCTCAGCGTGTATCCCTTTCCCATTTGCTGCACATATGGAATATTTGTCCACACACCTGAAACTGGATATTGTCACCAAAGAATTGGAAATTATGATTGACCATATGATTAACCCATATGATTAACCATATGATTAACATCGATTAACCATATGATTATATAACGATAAGATGTTTTAAGATCCTTTAAGTAACTATGGGTGGGACGTTGATTTAAGGGTACCTCGTAGCTCGTGGATGACCAGCAGCTGGGTGACTCACTACGATCGAACAAATCTCGGGGGATCACGGAGAGTTGGACACGCTAAGGGATCACTGGTTTTTTTGGGGGTGTGAATTCTGGGTGAAATTGGTATATATATATATATATCTCATCTAAATCTAGGATATCTAATGTTATATCACCCTTAAATGTAGGTTATATCATCTATCATAAAGTTATAACTGATATATCATAATGTTATATCAGTTAGATAATCTAAATCTAGGATATCTAGCTACTCTTTGGTTAAACCTTGGTAAATCTTGGCCCTTTGGTTAAAGCTGTAGTGTAAACTGTAACACAATGGAACACATGGAGCACAGCCAGGTCTTTGTACAGCGGGAGATGTCTGAGTCTGCGCCCAAGGATTCCAGGATGCGGCTGAGATGTGTTGATCCTGTCCACCCAACCTTTCTGATGATACCCGGCCTGGTAAACATACAAAAAGCGAACTGGAAAATGGCCATTGAAATAATGGATAAAATCCCATGAAAAAATGGTGGATCTTTCCAGTTCGCTATGTTAAATTACCAGAGGGTAATGATGATAAAAATGGTTTTCCCATAAAACATGATTTTCCATAGCTATGTTAAACAAAAATAGTGGATTTTCCCATAAACATGGTTTTCCTCAGGTTTGAATCCCGGCCCGTTGTGACTTTTTGCTTCAACGGATAGCGGTCGCCTGGTGCCATAGAGGCCATGGCTGCAGTTTGACCCAGGCTGCTGGAAAAAATCATCGACACGGCTCATTTCCAGGATGAAGGTAGGGCCGTTGGGGCCGTTGTGTCCAGTGGCCACGGAGGCTGACTTTTTTGTATCTCCAGGACAGTCCGAAAAGACATAGAAGATTTGCCAGGATGTCATGATAGCATTCTAATAGCATTCTTATTCTTAGATGATCTTTTGATATATTTTGATATTTTTTCTCAAGATTCCTGCATGTCCAATTTTAATGATGTTCTGCGGAGTTGCTATAACTATACCCTGGTGACAGGAAAGCCAGAGGAGATTGCAAAGGAACAAAAATTGAAAGCGCCACATCAGGAAGCCTGGCCTCATGGCTGCATGGAAAGAAGCAATGGTTACCCTCTGGCAAATTAACATAGACCCTGAAAATCACCATGTTTAATAGGTAAACCATCTATTTCTATGGGCCATTTTCCATGGCTATGTTAAATAACCAGAGGGTAATTTGTTTTGTTGTTTGATGCATGGCTTCAAGGGACAATTTCAACCACCGCAGATCGATCCCCCAATGAGTTTTTTCGGATTTCCGGCAGATTTTTCCCAGAAAACCTCTGGGATTTGATGATGGCACCAGCTTCAAGCCATAGCCACATCGTCGCGAATTGCAAAAAAACATGGAATAAGATAAAGCTACAAAAGTCAACCTCACTTGGGAAGCCTGAAGTCCATGGAAAATTTGGAGAGAGAATAATATGAAATAGAAGTATATATTATATATAGATAGAGATATATATATATATATAAAGAGAGAGAGATATATATATATACATATAAATATCAGTACATCCTGTCCATGGGAAATAGCTATGGGAAACTCTGCCACTGCAGGGATCCCTCCACTGTTGGAATGCCAAGGCCAACGTTGGAGTTTCCGTTGACATGGGCGCCGCCGGAGCGCTGTGACTGCAGAACTACTGGGAATGACATATGGAGTAACCCCCGATAGAACAGTAAAATCTGAATCTAAAACAAATGACTATTGTACCTTTTTTTTTCGGGGTTGATATATCTATATAATATATATATATATATATATATATATATATAATATACATATACATATGCATCATTTTTGCATGGACAAGCAATAGATGCATCATAAGCAGCAAAACATGCGGGGATGGAACTAGGGATAGCCACCAACTTATCACACCAGCACACTACCCGAACTCTGTACATACACTTTCGCCAGAGTAGGTGTGCTGCATATTCCCAGAACATCCCAGAACTGGATGAAAGGAAAACCTACGTCGGACACCCCTATGTTCGGAGGTAAAAACCATTGGTTTTCCCGTAAAATTTCCCTTAAACCCAATAAGATTGAACATATCCCATCCATTTTTTGAGCAGTGCCCAAATTTGAACCCAGGTGTCTTTCCCTTGCCAGGAGAAAGTGCAGGGGCCACCTGCTGATGTGGATGTTCTATTGCAGCAATCCAACCTCTACAGTTTCTTGGAGTTATGATTTAATATGTTTTAAATATTTGAATGTTTTTTGGCCATCAAAGTTGGCTGGTGGCTTTTGGTATTAGGAACTCCCAGATAGAACAGTGATTTCAATTGATTTCATACTATTCTACGGAGGACTTTACGGTTCTATCTCTCTGGAGGGTGCTACATATGTTTACCCCTTGTGCAGTTTACATCATATCTGAAACCAACCAAGAAGTGACGACTGTCAACTTTCTCAAAATAACAGCCTTGGCGTAGGAATTTTCTAACCCTTGGGATTTTCGAGATTCGCCCAGGCCCTTTTTAGGCGTCTTCCATTGCGACACACATCCATTCGCCCAGCTCTTTTTGCATGTGAATCCCATGCTGAACACAGAAAAGGGCCCAGCTGATCTCATGGTGATGTCCGGTTTTGATCGGCTAGATCAATATTAAATATATAATTATCCTTTATATAATTTTATATGATTATATATATATATTTGTATATAAGTTTCAGTTTGAAACTTTAGAAGTTACCCTCTGGTAAATTAACAGTTGGACCCTGAAAATGACCAATAAAAATAGTGGTTTCACTAGTCTTCCAGTCCCTATCTGGCAGGGTCTTCACATTAATTTACTGGAGGGTAAATATCAGGTATTAATCACTAATAACCACTATTACCCACTAATAACCACTAATAACCACTATTAACCACTATTAACCACTATTAACCATGGTTTTAATCGCCATATCATTAGGATTTCAAGAGATGGCTTCTGTAAATACAGTATTGACAAATCGCATCAGCCGAACTCGCCCAACGAGGCCCGGCGACGCCTCAGTACCTGGGCGCCCCTATGGGGCTTCGATGTGGGTGGATGTCCAACCGGTTGGCAAGGAAAACCATAGGAAAACCATCGGAAAATGGGAAAACCATAGGAAAACCATAGGAAAATGGAGGTTTACCCTCTGGTAAACTAAACTACGGAAAATCACCATTTTTAGTGGCTAAATCGACTATATTTCAATGGTCCATGTTCAATAGCTATTTTGACATAACCAGAGGATAAGTAATGGTCCATGTGATGACAGTCATGGCGTCATAGACAGATGGAAAGTGTTCAGCATCAAACTTTGGGGGAAATCTGGGAGTTCCCCAGAAATCGCCACCATGCCACAGCCACCATCCCACAGAGTCAATCAGAGTCAGGTCAAGCTTCATACATCAAACTATCTTTACTTGCTACACTGGATGGATGCCATCTACTTTTTTGTGCATATAAGTGCATACTTTTGTGACTGGACTTACTGAAAAATCGACAGACTGGAAAACAAGTGGCATCTCTTGCCATTAGACCAGCTGTGGCCAAGACAAACTGTATATTGAAAGACGTGCTGTTTCTCTTTGTAAATCTATACGCGCTATTGAATATTATATATAATTACAATATTTATATAGTACATATATTAATGTATTTCATTTATATACATATTATAATATAATCTTATTGACACACGATTATACATGCACATGTGCACATACTTCATGCATTTAGAATTTATACCACATGTATATATATATATATAGAGAGAGAGAGAGCGAGAGGGGGAGAGAGCAAGAGATGTAGATGTGTCTATGTCTAGCCCATGATAGCCCCACATCCACGGAACATGCCCAGGAAAAGTGGGAAAAGTGCGGAGTTTGCAGAGCTTGCAGAGCTCCTGGACTGGGAAAATGGCGATTTCACCCAGAAAAAATAGGGATTTCAAGGGATTTCATGGCTGATTTATGCCAAGGTTTATGGGGTTGGAATTTCAAGAAGCATAACTGGGGTGAACCATGAAGTACCCTCTGGTAATTCAACATAGCCATTGAAAATGGCCATTTATAGTTGGTTTTCCCATTAAACATTGTGATTTTCCAAAGTTATGTTAGTTTACCAGAGGGTACATGGGCATTCTACCGGAGGGTAACCAATTTTCAGTTCCTTTTGGGCTTGCGAATTGGCGCTTTCCTTCAAGTCATTGGGTCTGCTTTAAGATCTATGTAATGTCAACCCCCGGATGAGACTAAACCATGGTTTATTAATTAGGGGGGTACTCCTCCAATAGTCATAATCCAATACTTAAATGGTAGCCCCCCAATGAAACAGCCTAAGGGTTTATTAATCCAGGGTTGACATTATATAATATATATATATATATGCAAACATCCACAGTGACTGGACAACACACACACACGTATACATATCTGGTTGGTGGTTTGGAACATGAATTTTATTTTTCCATATATTAGGAATTTCATCCTTCCAACTGACGAACTCATATTTTTCAGAGGGGTATGTATACCACCAACCAGAATATATCCTTTAGAACTCGGGTGCAAGCAACTGTACATTCCTTTTGGGTAACCTCTCCCATCCGAAGCTGGCCTTTCAGATTGCCTTCATGTGAAACTATATATGTATAAATATTGGGTTTGTTTGGAGATAACCCCTTGGTTCCTTTATGTTCCTTTACTAACCAGCGTTCATAACTTGGTGAGCACAATGTGGACCCCATTTTTTGGCAACATGCCCAAATGGGGCAATGGAGTATGGTTGAATCGTGGTTGGCTCTTGGGCATATCACTTTGCCAAGAATCATAGAATTGGATGATGGGAAAATTTACAGGAAAGCCCTATATTTTATGGGAAAATCTATGGTTTCCTGTAGATTTTCCCTTAAATCAATCCAATGAAAGAATGGCCAGGCGCTCTTTCATTTTGCTTTGCCCATCTTTGCCCCAAAATTGGGGCGCCCCAAAATTCCCCCGGAATTGACCTGCCAAGCTGTCCGACTGGCCGAACGATGCTGAACTCCGAGGGTGATGGAAATCAACATCCCTTGATTAGTCATCATCTGGTTGGTGGTATACCTACCCCTCTAACAAAATATGAAAGTCATGTGGGATGATGACATTCGCAATTGATGCAAAAATAACACATGTTCCAACCGACCAGTTTATCGTATTTTTCCATATGGCACAGCCCACACGGAAAGATTGACGTTTGTAGAGTCCAATTTTCTAAACGTAATTTGTCATGACGTTTCGATATTTTCTTCTTTGTTCCGTTGCAAAACTGTCACGATTCAATGGAATGGTTTAAGGGAAAATTTGCAGGAAACCATGGATTTCCCCATTAAATATGGGGCTTTCCTGTAAATTTTCCCTTAAACCAATCCATTGAAAAAACGTCACGATGGCAATTCCTTGAGTATCCCGTGCAGATGAAGCCCGCCCCAGGGCCTCGCTCCCCAACAGCCGACAGAGTAGCAAGTTGGGCAGCCTCAGTGAACGGACCAGCAATGGAAAATGAGATAAAACATATGGCATATGGCAGTGTGTCAAAACCTTGTACCCCTGTACCCCTGGTGAACATCAAAATAGCTGGTAAATGGATGTTCATCCCACTAAAAATGTCTCTATAGGTATTGACCCATGCCCATATGGGTCTATGTCAATTTACCGTCTGGTAATTCAACATAGCTATTGAAAATGGCCATAGAAATAGTTGATTTACCCATAAAAATGGGTGATTACCCATAGTTATGTTAGTTTACCAGAGGGTACTGGGTGTATGATATCTTCATACATTTTGATATCACCCCTTATTTTTTTCTAAATTATTGGCTTAAATAAGGATTCATGGGAGGTTTAGTGGAATTCCTCTCGGTAATCAAACGTGGCGTGTTTTACCAATAAAAACCTCCATTTATAATCATTTATAAAGGATTTCCAGTTGATGACATGTTTGATTTTACCGGAGGGTATGGGTCAAAATTGGGTACCCTTAAAATTGGATGGTTAATAGGAAGCATAGATCAAAATATGCCGGAAAACCCTGGGTCTTCAATTTTGAACGCAAAGTCCCGCAAAGTGGCTTTTTCACTTGGCCAGACTACTTGGCAAACCTTGCTTTGGTTGGTTTACCATTTTTTTCTCCCATAGTCGGAGGGATATTTGCCCACACGCCAGAAAGAAACAGTATGCCCCAGGCCACCCACAGAGGATCAATCACGGCTGCTGAGCAAAAGGCCGTTTTCGAGTCGGGGGTGCCGGTGCCAGAGTTTATCCCATTTACAAATCATTGGTATTTCAGACAATCCTTGTGGAAATCAACGATCATCAACGATCTAAACGTGGATTTATACTTAAAGCGTCTTAAAGCTAAGGTAGTAATTGATAAGAATTGCTACTGGGGGTCTTGACCTAAGTTGGTCGCATCTTTATGTTGAAGGCACATTTTGAGTGAGTTAAGTCGACACCTTCGTTTCGCCGGCAACACACCTTTCCTGGGCACCGCCAGGCGACAAAATGTGCCTTGGCTTCACCAATTTTCAAGAGCCATGGGCCATGGGCCATGGGCCATGGCTTCCGCAGCTATCTTGAAATACCGGAGGGCATACCTCGTGCATGTGTTGTGATTGCAGTCATGATCATGATGATGATGATGATGATGATGATGATCAATTTCAATGTCATCATCATTACTACTGTATAATTTACTATATACATCTACATAAGCCATTCATCAATTATTAAAACTATATACTGTTCTCATCACCCTCTGGTAAGCTAACATAGCTATGGAAAGATCCACCATTTTTTATGGGTAAATCAACTATTTCAATGGCCATGGCTTCAATAGCTATGTTGAATTACCAGAGGGTAAACCTCCATTTTCCTATATGGTTTTCCATGGTTTTCCTATGATTTTCCCATGTTCCATACCAAGATCATTACGATTTTCCAGCACGTTCCAGCCGTGAGTTGGTCGCTGAGTCCAAGAAGCCCGCCGTCCCAAAGTCCAAGTGCCTCGGTGTTTTACATGCCGCTGCAAGTCCCATGGCAGCTACAGAGGAATGGAAATCCGTTCTGATGTATTGATACATATAAAATATATAAAATATTATAAATTCATA